TAGGTGCTTAAATACTAATTAATGAATCATTATTTGAGGCGAGGTTTTACTTGTAAAAATTTTTAGTAAATCTGATCACATTAAGATCTAAGGTATAATCAATTCCTTAGTATGAGACTTATATATTTTTTGGTACAATTGATTCGAAATCGGCATTAAAATATTAATCTGCAATGCCTTACTAAAGATCTATGTACTGAATATCTTCATTAGTTTTTGTTTAAGTATAGTTATAATTAATGCAATAAATTTTAATTAAACCTCCTCCAGATTAACTACATCCATAATTCTACTCAAAGTAATTTTCTTCAAAGTGCAAGCCAGAGCAAAAACTTTTATTCGAACTTGGAATTGTGTTAAGAACATTTGTTGTTGAATCTGATATTAAAGTAATTCTAAAAATTTAAGACTTGTAATAAGATCCATTTCTAATAAATTTATTTTTTGCTACTAAGACTCTACTTTGGTCTTTTTTGTTAAGATTAAGGACAATTAGTCCTGTTACTGCTGTATTTTTTTAAAATGTATTGTTGATGATATCTATATTCCAATCTCCATGATTAACAATGCTAATCCAAGACTTCAATTACTAATGAGTTTTCTCTCCGTAACTAGGATATTAATCTTAATTAGCATCTTAATATCCCTCTTGCTATTCAAAATGATATCCAACTCTGCAATTTCCATAACTTATCTTATTGTATTCGAAGATATTCCCAATCAAGGTAATAGGGCCATTAAATTAATCAAAGTCAAAAATTAATCCTAAAATTTAGTTAATATTTAATAGATATACCCTAATACTATAGAAGATAGTCCGGATCAACTTGATTTCCATAAAGGATAAAAGGTTTATATTGACCAAACTTTTTGAATTATGAAGATTCTACATTTAGTGAAAAGCAAGGCTATAAAGAATGCATTTGAGTATTTTGGCAATTTGAGTAGTAAGGATTAAAATTAGCTCTTTCTATTTTTTCATTCATTTTTTGAGTGTATTAGTAATTCAAATAAGTCTGGTAATAACTCTAGAAGTTGCTGAAATCAATACCAGCTATTTACCTAAACTAAAACTTATTTCTCACTATTGCTCCACAAGTATTAAAATTTTCAAATATAGTGTTTTTTATCACAATATGTCCACCTTAGTATTTATTTATTTCGATAAAGCTAATGTATTGTTGATAATATCTATATTCCAATCTCCATGATTAACAATGCTTATCCAAGACTTCAATTGCTAATGAGTTTTTTCCCCGTAACTAGGATATTAATCTTAATTATAATTTTGATATCCCTCTTGCCTTTCAAAATGATATCCAGCTCTGCAATTTCCATAACTTATCTTATTATATTCAAAGATATTCCCTATCAAAGAAATATGGCCATTAAATTCCTCCAAGTCAAAAATTAATCCTAAAATGCAGTTAATATTAAATAGATATACCTTAATACTATAAAAGATAGTCTGGATCAACTTAATTTCCATATACGATAAAGGTTTTATATTGACCAAACTTTTTGAATTATGAGCTTTCTACATATAGTGAAAAGCAAGGCTATGAAGAATGTATTTGACTATTTTGGCAACTTGAGGAGTAAGGATTGAAATTAGCTCTTGCTATTTTTTCATTTAATTTCTGAGTGTATTAGTAATTCAAATAAGATTGATAATAACTTTAGTAGCTGCTAAAATCAATACCAGCTGTTTACCTAAACTAGAACTTATTTCTCACAATTGCTCCACAAGTATTAAAATTTTCAAATAGAGTGTTTTTTATCACAATATGTCCACCTTAGTATTTATTTATTTCGATAAAGCTATTGAATTCGTAGAGAAAATTTTTAAAAACACAATTCTAGTAGCATTAGAGATAATTTAAAATGTAATACCTCAATCACTAGTGTTGGTGGGGAAGAAATCATAGTCTAAGAATTCATATCGAAATTAATGAAGTTTGTTCCTTCAGCAGCAAAGCATAACTCAGAACTAAAACAATAAAAATATAAAATAAATACGGTTCTTTTATGAATTTGCAAGAAGGTTGACCTCCTAGTTACCCATTTGAATCTATGTAACAACATTATTTTGAAGGATTTGAAGAGCAATAAATCTACTAATTTATATCAGTGTCCATATCTATACTAGAATCAATAGCATCAAAAATCAAATTCTTAATGGTCAATCCAGCACCGACTATAAAGTGGAATGTATCCCTGAGTTTGTAATTTATAGTCAATTATTAATCTGGGTTAGCAGGTTGTAAAATTATTTTTGTTGTCTTTGAAAATTAGTCCAAGTTAGTAGGCATGTAAAAGTCTAAAGGATAATACCTAACCATTGCATGAGTCCCATCTAATAATAAGATAGTTATTTAAGCAGATTGATACGGTGCTCCTAGTTCATATGCTTTCTTAATTGCATCTTGAATCGAATTGAAATAATTATTAATCGAGCCATCGATTAAACTGTTATCTCTTGTATTCAATCTTCCAATAGAACCAACATAAATTGTATCTTCATAGCTTTCCGAAGATTTTTGCTAGCATGTTCCAACTGATTATTCTCTATTAATTAAACTCAAATAATATCCTTTTATGCAAGATTTGCACAAATTTAAATCTGAGCATTCATAACAAGTAGAACTGCATTAATAGCAAAAGGCATAATATACTCCTGATCTAAGATTGTATTAAGGATTTCCATAAAATCCAATTTGGCAAGTTTAAGAACATGTTTTTGGATTTGAAGTCGAAATATAACCATCATGGCAAGCAAGCAAACTAAGCACCACACCATTTTCACTAATCTAGCAATTCGCAATATCATAAGTGTAAGAACCCCATTATTAGTCAAATGATTAATAAGGCGAGCACTCTATATAAGCAATGCTTTTACAATTATTTATGGTTACTTTAACAATAGTCATAAATACCCCATTTCGTTATTGAATAGCCTTGTTAGCAATCTCAACAATTAATTTAATTTAGTGGCTCAATGCAATTATTAGGAAATATTCCAGCTAAATTAATTAATATGATTAATTACTTTTGCCACAACCCCAGTATCCAAATGTTTCAAGTGTAACAAATGTTAGGAAATAATTGTTTTTACATATAAGACAGCTAAAACTAGTGAGTTAGTATGATAAGCAGCCTTCAATTTCAAAAGAATATGGAACAGGATAATAATCTAAAAATAAAATTGAAACTGTTTGCCTATAAAACTTACTGCATGAATAATCTGGACCCAAATGTGCTAGTTCATTCATTCCATTAGCACATACTGTGCATCTATTAGCGTTATAGGGATCACATTCAGCACAACCTCTTTCAAAATTACATTCTAAATGTGATGATTAATAGTATTTACAAGTAAGTCTTCTAAATTTTGGATGAATTCGATAAGATGCTGGTAAAAAAGCATTAGTCCAACCATTTTTACTACCAAGCTATATTTATGATATAGAATCACATCCGTTTTTTAAATTGCAAGATCAACAGTGATTTCCACACCCTTTTCTTGATATATTAAATTTATTTCTTACAGAGGCAAGTACGATCATATTCATTAT